TGAAGTCTCTCGGCCCTTAAAGGGGAAAGGTTGCCTACCCCTGGACTGTCCTATTCTTGGTATATTATAAGATTTCTCTTTTAAATTATTTGAAGTAGTGAGGGGGGAGTCCCATTAAGTCCAATTAGATACAATGACATAGTAAAATGGTGTCCCTTATATAAAATGGCAAAATCAACATTTGATTTAAGGGTTTTTAAAAATACTTTCAAGCAATGGATGGATAGGTCTGTGGATGCAGAATCCATGGATACAAAGGGCTGATTGTATGTATTTTAATTTATAGGACATCCCTTTCTGATACTGAATGAATAAAATATTTGCTATTATTTCTGTAAATTGTACAATATAATTTCTGTTGCTGTATTTATTTATTTGTTTGTTTCTTTATACAATGTCATTCCAGTTCCATCTGGCTGCAAGCCCTACAAGATTATAGAGCTTTAGCTCAGTGTCACTGGCTACTTTGTCAGGATCAGTATGCCTCTGAATACCAGTTGCTGGGGAATACAAATGGGAGAGTGTTCTTGTGCTCATGTCTTACTTGTGCTCCTCCCAGTCTGGTTATCCATCATGGGAACAAATTCTGGACTAAACAGGCCTTTTTCCTGATTCAGCACAATGTTCTTAGTACCTAACTTATCCTGACATTGAATCCTGTGGCAGAGAGAGTGAATACTCTCTAGCAAATCCTCTATGATTTGGCAGAACAATTCACACATATGGGAATGGAAATCTGTAGTGGATTGTTTCCCACACCCTATGTCCTGCTAGTTTACATGACAAGGTAAGAGGTGGGGTGGCTTTTTGCAGGTTTTCAGCTGGAATTCAATTTTTGAAAACTTTTATTTCCCATTGAAGCCAATAAGAAGGAATACATTAACCAATGCTAAGGGCTGACCTAGTTTATGGGCATAATCCAGGGAATGGGAGAGCTAGGATTTTGTAGAACCTAGGTCTCCTGTTATCTATTTCTTGTTAGGTGCTTTCCCCTCTACAATTGTCAGAGAACTAACAGCACAAGAATTATTATAGCCAGGTTTTCTGTTGCTACAGCAAAGAGTCCCCAGCTGTGGAACTCCTTCTCCAACTGCAGAGCCATTGTTAGTCCCAACTAAAGTAGAACCATAGTGTCAATGGAATTTACTATATGTTGACTCACCATTTTGCAACTGATTCAATGGGTCAAGTTAGATTATTGGTAGACAATGGGTACGCAATGACTCTTGGACATTAATGCATTTATTGGGACTGAGATCTTCTGTAATTTATCAAAGAGTAAGTCCCAGTGAAGTGAATAAACATTCATAATAGAGCCAGTGTGGTGTAGTAGTTTGAGTGTTGGACTACAACTCCAGAGATCAGGGTTCAATTCCCTGCTCAACTATGAAAACTCACTGGTTAACTTTGGGTGAGTCACACACTCTCAGCTCCAGAAAATCCTGTGATGGCTTCATCTTAACATTGTCATAAGTCAGAAAATGACTTGAAGGCACACAACAGCAACAACAAAGTAGTAGACAACAACAAAGTCCCTGGTAAATTATGTCCAAATTCCAGTACACTGAGTGGTAGAAAATGTTGAAGGCTGGAAAGGATCCAAGTAAGAAGTATTTCTTTAAATTCTTCTTTCATATAATATATTCTCCACTACATTCTTATTTTCAGTTCCCCTCCCCTCTGGGAAATTCACCTGGAAGAAGAAGAAATAATAGTTTGGGTAATTGGTTTTACCTTTCTGCTTGACAAAATGCTCTGAAGACAATCTTTCTAGTGATTAATGACTGAAGAGTCTTAGGCCAGAAAATCCTCAATCTATGTAATATATGAGATAAAGTTTCAGTTAAGAATGAAAATCCCTAAAAAGTCTCAAGGAGCAGTTTCACAGATAGACTTGTACATTCTGTCTGCAAGTTAGAAACCAGTATCAATCCATTTAATGTTTAATCTCTGGGAGGCTTTACACTACTTTAGGGACAACCAAGTGCCAAGGATTAGGGGTCACATTGTTTTTCCATGAAATCTTGGAGGCTACACCCCCCGCCATGTCCCTGTGCCCTGATAAAATGTTTTACTTTTTAAAAAATTGGCCAGAAATGCCCATGACCCGACCCCCCCCCCAGGTTCACCAAAGCACTTTTGCCTTGTTTGAGGGGCTCCCTGGGTTGTTTTAGGTCTGAGAAAGCCGCCTCGGTTGTATTTTACAGAGAGGTGGGATATAAATAAATATTATTATTATTATTATTATTATTATCATCATCATCATTATCATCATCTTAAACAGGAAATCATCTGGAAACCAATTCCCTATTTACTTCATGTAGATAAAACAGCATTTCTTGGACAAAAAAAGATCCTATCAGGGCCAAAAATGTGGCACATTTGTCACCCATGGGGTTGTTGGTAGCAAATATAATAAGGCTCTGAGCCCCCCCAATGGCTTTCCCATCCCTATGCTATTATGTAATGTACAGTATATAAATGCCAGTATGTTAAATATCTTCATGTTTTCACTTGTTTTGCTTATATGCATTTTTCAAATATTTTCATGATTTTTTTCTTGTTGGTCCTGAAAAATCAGATTGTTTGGAAAACTCATTTATTTTCTAATGCCTCCCATATTCTCCTCCTCCTCCTCCTCTTCCAAAAATTCATCTTTCAGAGATCTTTTTAAATGTCTGTTTCAAGTTTTTATTTGCAGAAGGTATGAAATAAAAATCTTTATGTTGAGTTGCTTGGTTTTACATTAAAAGCCACACCTTGTGTTTCTGAGCTGAAACCACAATGCAGATTCTTTTGCACATGGATAGTACATCTTGGGGTGAAGCAGACAGGCATGAAGGAATGGCCAGAGGCCACTCCGGCCCCAATTGAACCAGGACCATAGTGACCAGGCAGCCTGCTCCAGAAGTGGTCCCAAGCCACGCTGTCCAGAAGTCAGTATAAATCAACTCCTTTTGGGCTGGCTTTTTGCAGCTTGCCGCAGCTTCTAGCTGCTTTGAGGGTGTGCATCATCTGAATGCCACACCCATAAGGTGGCCTGAAGCCACTTTATTTTGCCCGTCTGCTTCAAGCCTTTTACAATGTCATGACAACTTTCTCCATGCCATCATCCCATTCTCCCATAATTTGTCATATTAGATACATGATGACATGGGAGACAGATCAGTCTTTTACATGCCTCATTGCAGAGTTGGGTAGCCCAGTCTTCCAGAAAAGGAAAGGATACTTATATGTTCTTAATTCTGCTTTGCTAGAATACACATGTAATGGTTAACCATACATTAAAAAAATTTGTTTTGTAAAACGCAATGATCCATTCAACTAACATAAAAATTACCTTAATTAAAAACATTTTTGTTATGATTAATATTCTCATTTTTTGTGGAAGAGCTTTCTTACCAATTTTTTGCGTTTTTGTTGAATAGCACGTTTTGATTTTTTTTGTGGAACACCAATTTTCTTACCACTATGATTCCTACATAGCTTTCAAATTAAAACTCAGCATAGTACCATTTCTTTGCAACTGTACTTTGCTGCAATTGTACAGCTATGGCCTGAAAAATGTAAGGAAAATTTTTGCTAGATTAACCCATCTTCTGAGTTGACAAAATAAATATAATAGACAATATCCAACAAAGGTGTTTTGTTGATGGAACAGTGAGGTCCGGTGAAACCAGAGAGGAACAACCTCCATTCCTCCCACAATCCCCCTTGCACTGCCAAGCTAAGTCTGGATGCTGAGAAATCTGCCCAAGCTAGCTTTTGGCCACTGAAGGAAGAGAGGAGGGGAAGAGAGCGAAGGAGAAGAATGTGCTACAGGCAGTGGAACATTGGATTTAGCCCACAGATGGCATCACTAAGACATTTTAGTTTTGTAATACAAATGCTTCCCATAGTTGTTCTGTAGCTTCTTGCATTAAGCAATAATGCCTTGCTTATCTCCAGATCACTGGCACATATTTTAATGCACAACATTAAAGTGAAAATGGCTATCAAGGACAATCATCTTCTCTTTCTGTGACCATAGAAATAGTGCCACACAACTCTCAAGAGGTTGCTTTTATTGCAGTATGTCCCCTTGATATGGTTTAAGGGAAAAATATTAACCACATTCAAAAATAAATGCTTACTAAATGAACTGATAAAACTGCTGAGAATTATAGTGCAGAACAACAACAACAAAAGAAAGTGCATAATTCCCTGTTAATATTGTTAGTGAAATGTAATCTACCAAGGCAATAACATCTGTAAACAAGGCATGTACACTGAAATCCTCTGATGCTTCAATTGTCACCGTTTCTCTTAATGGCATGAATAATTTTAACAAAAACATCCTTGAAGGGTTTGAATCATTACACGGTTTTACAGCTAACACCAAGGTCTAATGCAGACTTAAGAATGACTGAGACAATATTTATAGTAGATGTATTTCATTCATATCCCGTTATCTTCCACAAGAGCCAAGGACTGAATACAAAATCTTACTTAATTTTAATCTTAAAAAGACCTTTGCTCATATAACATACTCTGTATCAAGTTAAAGGCACTTGTAACAGCATTAGTTTAAAATCAGAAAATACTAGGAGTACCCATCAGTATACCTGATGGATCAATGCTTGCTATTATCTCCCCCAGCCAATTTTACTATCAAGTATGTGGCAGAATCATTATGGGCCTAACCTAACTATGGCTGCATTTACACTGCAGGATTAATATAGTATGGAACTGCTTTATATGCCATGGTTCAATGCTACACAATTCTGGGATTTGTAGTTTCGTGAGATATTTATCTGTCTTTGCCAGAGAGCTCTGGTGCTACAACAAACTACAAATCCCAGGATTGCACAGGATGAAGCCATGAGAGTAAAAGTGGCATCAAACTGCATTAATTCTGCAGAGTGGCAGCAGCCCATTTTTTTTCCAAAAGGACACTACCATATAAATTCCCCTCACAACAAGAAGTTTTTTTAAAAAACAAATATAGTTTTTAGAAATACAGTTGTTTAATTTCAATGGGATAGCTGACTTACAATTTTGTGATACTTTTAAAAGTATTTTTTTAAATTATAGCTTATTGACCACTAATTATCACTTTTTTATGAAAGAAAATCACATTTTATGCTGTCCTTCTGGTACACTAGAAGGGATTTTGTATGGAATTTTAAGAAGATAAAAATAATTCCTCAGATCAAGATGGCCTGTATCAAGTTAAAGGCACTTGTAACAGTGTATGAACACACCATTTGCAGAGCTTGGAAATAGCTAGTTAAATGACTTTACATTTTAAGTGGGGTGGGCTACTGGGGGAAGGAATTGTTTGTTTTATCTTGTAAGCCGCCTCAGTTGTTTTTACAGAGAGGCGGGATATAAATACATTTTATTATTATTATTATTATTATTATTATTATTATTATTATTATTATTATTATTATTATCTTTTCTACCAATGTGGCTGTAATGCTTGAGTGTGTTTATTATTGTTCACATAGTGCTGAGCACTTGGATAATTAAATGAAAAGGTTGCCTTGTCACCACTATCATTTCATTCTCTCTTGGGTTTTCTTTTAATCTCTCTTCCCTCTCATTCTGCTTTTCACCCATCTCCTTTTTCAGTGGATCACACATTGAGACATTTGGTCAGGCTGCAGCTTAAAGTCAAAAGATACAGTTAGCTAAATCTTTTTTGACTTCCCATCCATGCCTAAGTTTTCCTTTTAAAAAAAAACTGGTAAGAAATAGGTCCCATTGTGTATGAGAAAAACACCTATCTTTGTAGACCGCACTTCTTGATAGGGAATACAGAGGCAGAGAGTATATACTGATTGGCTTTAGGACATGATATGGAGTGGAGATCGCCATGGTTGCCTTGGCTGATGACCTTCATCTGGGCATCAACAGGAGTAGTGTGACCCAGTTGGTGCTATTGGACCTCTCAGCGGTTTTTGATACAATAGATCATGA